TGAGATTTTTTTTTTTTTTTTTTTTTTTTTTAGGTGAAATTAGATGTGACCAAAGAAAAAACAATTTTTATTGAGTTATTTAAATTAGAGTGAGTGTAGCTCCACATTAATATATTATGTTTACATACATTCACACATTGCAACTGAACAGCCATTGGCCACCTCAACTTTTCATTGTCTGTAAAAGAGGATATTATTAGTATAGATTTTATTACAGTTATATATATTACAGCTATAATTTTCTTTAAATAAATGATTTACTTCAAACTTTTATTTAGTTATTTATTTATACTTTTCTTCAAAACCTCTTGGTTTAAAATCTGCCCCCTTCATTTGAATAATAGTCAAGTCAAGTCACCGTTATTTATATAGCTAGTAATTAGGTTTATGCGCCATTCTGGTCATTCGTGAATGAGGGAACGCAAGTCGTCTCACAATGCAACTGTATATCTGTCTGAGTTCCGAGTTATGAGTATGATAAACATACTATAGGCATCTGGACAGGGAGATCACACAATGGGAAGATCGAAGGTTTTTTTACTGTCACACCAACCACACCTTTTGTCACATTCTGATGTGGCTACTTGATGGAAACTCCCAGTTTTCTGTTTATTGTAAATGAGCAAATTACAGAGCTGAGATGTTTCTATCATACTTTGTTTTTTTGGTCACGGTTCTTACAAATTAATGTTCGATATTCCTCAGTAGTGCTGCTTAGGGGTTTATTCTAAGTCCATAACCCTAAGTATTAAACTTCTGCAATTAATGAAACACTTAAGGCAGTCTGATTCATAAGTAGTCATGGCAGTCGTGGCCTAATGGTTAGAGAGTCGGACTTGTAACCCGAAGGTTTATAGATTAGATCTCTGCCACGATTCTGCGCACGAAAGATCATATTTTGAGCGCACAAAAGTGCATGTTGCACGCGGGCGATCTGAGTTTTTTGTAAAAAATGTTCTTTCACAAAGAAAAAAGTATTTTGAGCGCACTAAAATCAATTTTGCATTTAAAATAAGTTTTTGGATGTGTGCAGTCCTTCTCTTTTGCGCGTGCAATGTTTCACTAGCTTGCTCACCTGATGTCCGCCCTCAGTGCTCTCTAAATGCCAACGGCTCGCTTGCTCAACACAACCCAGCGTTACAATATGCCATAATTCCAGCCAATCAGAGACGAGGCTGCTAAATTCTGATTGGCTGCCTTGACAACCAATCACAACATTCCTTGCATTGCTGATGACCGCAGAAGAGGGAAAATACTGTACAGTGCATGCATAATTATTATGCAAGTTGATATTCTGATTATATTTTTTTCCAAGCACATTTTACCAATTCCAAACAACATCAATCTTTATAACTGCTATTAATCTTGTATTTAATCTCTTATAACCTATATATTATTGTTCATGAAGGCTAGAAGTGAAAAACGCCTTATTTTCAGGTGTACATAATTATTAAGCAGGTTATCTTCTACAGATAAAATCTCCAGATGGACTAAAAATTAACTCCCAAAACTTACTGCTAGATTCTTGAAGATAAATTCTTATCTTCCTAATTATTTTGCAGTTAACATGCATCTTTTCTTCTCCACATGTTTTTGACTGACCCTGCTGACCCACTGAACATTTTGCTGTCCAATGGTTATGCATTAACTTTGCAATTTCTAGTATTGTATTAGTTTTGAATATTTCTCATGGGCATTTAATAATTTTTTACTGGACCAGCACCACATCCTCTTGTACCACTGTTTGAAGAATTTATCTTCCAGAATCTGGCAGTAAGTTTTGGGAGTTTTTAGTCCATCTCGAGATTTTAGCTGTAGAAGATAACCTGCTTAATAATTATGCACACCTGAATATAAGGCATTTTTCACTTCCAGCCTTCATGAACAATAATATAAAGATTATAAGTGATTAAATACAAGATTAATAGTAGTTATTAAGATTGATGTTGTTTGGAATTGGTCAAATGTGCTTGGAAAAAAAATATGATCAGAATAACAACTTGCATAATAATTATGCATGCACTGTATTTTTCCTCTTCTGCTGTTGAGGTAATGCAAGGAATGTTGTGATTGGTTGTCAAGGCAACCTGATTATGGCATATTGTAACACTGGGTTGTGTTGAGCAAGCCAGCCGTTGGCATTTAGAGAGCACTGAGGGTGGGCATCAAGGGAGCAAGCTAGTGAAACGTTGCACGCGCAAAAGAGAAGGTCTGCACAAATCCAAAAACTTATTTTAAATGCAAAATTGATTTTTGTGTGCTCGAAATACTTTCTTCTGGGGGGGGGGGGCGAATGTACAGCGCTCTCTTCCACCTTCAATACCACAACTGAGGTGAGACCCTTGAGCAAGGCACCGAACCCCCAACTGCTCCCCAGGCGCCGCAGCATTGGCTGCCCTTCACGGTGTGTGTGTGTTCACTGCTGTGTGTGTGCACTTGGATGGGTTAAATGCAGAGCACAGATTCACCATACTTGGCCACATGTCACTTCACTTTCACTTTCACTTAAAATAGTCTCAATACATATATTCAAATGTTGCTTTGCAGATCAGCTTTAGATGTGCTTAAAAATTCTTTGCATTAATACATTTAAGATTTAAGCTTGAAAACAGACAACTTGTCGCAGACAAAACCTAACCATATTGTTTATTGCTGTACTGTGTGTTTGTAGGTAAGATCACCTCCCTGGACACCAGTCTGTTACGAGCCTCTATGAAACCTGGCTGGGAAGACTTGGTGCGGAGATGCATTCAGCGCTTTCATCTCCAAAACGATGGAGAAATGTCATTCGCCAAGCGGCATCAGCAAGAAGGTACTGAGCACATCTCACATTAATCCACTTAAATTATTATCCACTATTATGCTCTTTGACAAAGTCTTGATTTTGTTTTGGGAGTGTTCTAGAACAGGCTCTCATACTAGGTTGTTCGTAAAACACATTATTTTTCACTTATTTTACATTATTACAACACCCCTCTCCTCAGTCTGGCATGAATGGCTTGAATAGTTCCTGTATCACATGAAAGCCCGCCTTCTGAAACACAAAATGTGCTGTGATTGGTTAGCTGGGCCAGTGTGTGTTGTGATTGGCAGCACTCGGTGCCTGGTCGGGAAATGTCATGCCCCTTACCATAGCCGCCTGCGAGCTTCAGTGTAAATATTGCGTCAAAATCAAATCAATTTGAGCACGATTTAAACCCTGATTATTGTAACCATTCTAAGTTCGTCTGCCTTGGGAAAGCTAGCGTGTCTCCGACATAGTGATAACACTCATTGCCTTCTCTAGTGCAGCTCAACCAGGTCTCGTCCCATTCGTCGATATTTGTGATATCACAAATCCCGGAAAATATGCGTTGTAGTCCAAACGAGTCGTTCGTTGTAGTTTTTTTTTAAATGGTTTATGTTAAATAAAATATCTCCTTTTGAAGTTGTCTTTGAACTTTGTAACTTTGCAGATCTTTTTTATACTCAAACAGCAACATTACAGACTAACTAAAGTTGAAAAAGTGAAAAAGCATAATAGGACCCCTTTAACACTTAAGAAACGCTGTCATTTTGGCTATTGTATTGTGCATGCAAAGATTTACTATATTTGTGACCGTAACTACCAAATATTCTGAATACCATAAGGATTTTAACACCCCTTGGATTTGGCTTCTGCTGGCAAACCAGTTTCACAAACACTCCTTATGTCATGACTTGCTTTGCTGAGAATGCAAGACAGACATTTTAAAAATGTTTTATGAATCTCAGTCGCAATAATGCAATCTTTAAATCATGGATAAATATCAAGATCTATAGATAATATTGGCATTAGGGAAATATAGTAGACATTACTGTATTTCAGTATTTTTCATATTGTAGCAAACAAAAAATAATTGTGGTGTGTGAAAATATAGCAAAGTGTATGTGAGTAATGCATGCGGCTTCTTTACTGGAAAGGTTAATCTTGCAATTTTATAGGAATTATATGGGTTTATGTTTAATAGTGACTATTATCTTGATCTAATTTAGATGTTGTTTGTTTCGATGTTCTTTAATGTACATTTACATATCTCAAAATGATGATGTTCTAATCATGTGGGTGTGTTGTTTTGCAGTGCTGAGGCATGGGCAGGCTTTCAGTCCCATCTACCGGTTTTCCCTGTCTGACGGGACCATCGTCTCAGCTCACACCAAGAGTAAACTGGTTCGGTCACCTGCTACCAACGAGCCACAGCTCTACATGTCACTGCACATTTTACAAAGGTACCCACTACCCAGCTGCACAACTTGCCATGAGTGCCTGCACTTGAGTTGTTTTGTTTCTGTTTATGTCTGAATCTGAGTTTTTAATGTAAATGCAATGGTGTATTTTATGAACTACTACATGAGTAAGTGTTTGAGTCATTTTTGACCCACTTCTCACTGTTTCCTGTTTGATTCAGCTCTGTGTAAGCAGTCAGTTGAAACACACGCTTTCTAGTTCTGACAAGCCCAGTTCATGACCATATACTGAAATCTCACTGTCATGTGAGAACATCCGACCATGTTTTCCCAGAGGGGGCCGATGCTGGTCTCGAAACATTCCATCAGAACCAAGAATAATACGACTCCCACAGCTACACATTGGCTAACAAGCTTTTTCACCCTTGATAATTCCTCAGAATTTGATTGCTGATTTAATTAAGTATGGAGTAATTGAATACGAATGATTCCAATGTTAAAGGGAACGTTCACCCAAAAATGAAGACGTTCCAAACATGTATGACTTTTTTTATTTTCGTGGAACACGAAAGAAGAAAATGTTTTAAAATATTGGCTCTTTTCCATGCAGTTACAGTGCGTCTGGAGCTTCAAGCTTCAAAAATAATGCAAAAAATCAAGTGTTCTGAAGCCATACAATAGGTTTGTGTGAGGAACAGACCAAAACCATTTTTCATGAGAGTTCATGGGAGACGCAGCAATGTCCAATTTGTGAACGAGTCATTCTTTTGAGTGAATCATTGGTCCATTTCACAAATGATCACTGAATAATTCCTTCATGAATTAGACTCGATCTGGTTCTCGAATTCAACTCACAAACTCACTGATTCGGTCACAGCAGTTAATAAATCATTGGAGGGGTAGATTATCAGTTAATAACGACTTACATTTTCTCACACAAAGCTATCATATGACTTCATAAAACTTATGTCAGTGCTCACAATTTATATAGACCACTTGTATGATGCTTTACATACTTTTTGAACCTTGAAAGCTTCAGTCCCCATTCGTAGTAATTGCATGGAAAAGAGCAACCAAGATATTCTTCTGAATTTCTCCTTTTCTGTTCCACAAAAGAAATTCATGCAAGTTTGGAACAAAATGAAGATGAGTAAATTACAGATTTTTTTTTCCCTTTAGAGCATCATTCAGTAAAGTCAGATATCACAGTTTCACATAAAATCAAAACATTTGGAGTGTATGGCTTCGTAAAGCTTGGATCCACAGCAGGCAGTTGTGAACACAGTTTTTATATGTTAGCTACAGAGTTTCTATCTCTCTCACAGCATGCGATGCAGGAACACCGGTTTGCTTTCTGAGACAATAGCAGCAGTGTTAGGCTGGGGTGTCGAGCACAGATAAACATTAAACCCAGAGTGAGCTCACAGCGGGAGGGTGGCTGTCTTAAAGCACAGCATCTCTAGCACAATAACACACAGTATAGCTTGACTATTGATTCATCCTGCATGCTCCGAACAAAGGCATCTCTATGCATTTATCAGCTCTGAGCGAGTTTTTAGTATGTAGCTTGCTAAAAGCTTTATACCCCGAGGTGATTTTTACATTAGAGGGGGATACGACAGCACAGCCACTCATTTTCTTTGTCCCGTGGCTTGTTTTGAGGGATGAGCACTGCTGTTTTTTTTGATAATAATTTGTTCCCCTCTTTTAACCTTCTCTGCTGAAACATACTTTAGTTAATTAAGCCATTCCTGAAATTCCACTTAAGCTCTTTTCTCGGATTCCTTGTTTGGAGCGCTAGAAGAACCGCTTCCTGACTACGAGATGAATTTAACAAATGACTGCACTGGATTAATGTAATGAAATAGTTTCAATAGAATTTACTTGGAAATCAATATGAATTCCTTGGATCACAATTAAAACACCATTGTCAACAGTAGCACGTGCCAACCTGGTGAGACAGGCATGCCCTGCCTGAACTGAGGCATTGTTTTCTGTTTTTGTTTTTATGCCCTTTTTTCCTCTCACTTTTTTCCTACTTCTTCTCTTGCTTTATGTCTCTTTCTTTTTACAATAATTAAACATAATGTTTGCATGACATTAAAACTATGCCAGGGAATTGTCACCAGGGCAATGATATGTGGTTGCCAAGTGTTTTTAGCTTATTTGATAAATGGTTGCAAGGGCTTTGTGTTCGGGATGGTTGCTCTGTGATTTCTTAATTGCCCCTTTGGGTCCCTCTTTCAGTGTTAGTCTGAGGGATTTTTTGTGCATTAAATGGTATAGGATAAGATATGCACCAAATTTTAAAACTTAGCGTTAAGGATTTATTCAAATGGCTTATTTTAGTATTATTTATATACTATTATAGTACTTATTAATAATTTAATTTAGCTTTTTATATGTGTATTCAATTTTCATTTTATTATTATTCTTTTTCCTTAACCTTATAAACTTTTGTCATTTTTATTGATTTTTTTTATATTTAGCTTTCATTAATTTTTTTATTGCGTTATTAGTTTTAGTAATTTAGTACTTAAAATTATTTATTTCAATTAGTTGCCAAGGCAACATGTCTAATAAAGTTTAAGTTTGTTTTTTTTTGTTTTGTTTTTCATTTTGTTTTTTCAGCTTTATTTCAATTACCAACCTTCAGTTACTGAATTTTCAATTACAGATTTTTTATAGTTTTAGTTCTGGTTAACAATAGTAACAATGACCTTTATTATGTTCACTGATTATGAATTTTATGCTTGTGATACATCAGGCTTGCAATCGTTAAATTCATAAATAAAACTATGTTTGTGCTGTGTGTGTGGCGTGTATGTTGCAGCATTATTTGCTCTTTAGATTACCTATTAGCGACTATAAATGTCTATTTTTTTCTGTTTTAGGGAGCAGCCCGTCTGTGGCATGACCCCTGATCTTGGAAATGCTCAGAATATGGGCAAAACCATGAACCCCATGAGCTCTCCCAACACAGCAGGTTCCTCCAGCGCCCCCCAGGGGCAGGATGCCACCATCAGCAGCAACACATCCACTTTCCCCTCCCCTGGTGGCCAGAAGGAGCCCGGCGCCATCGGCCCAGTACAGGGCCACCGTTTCGGGTGCCCGGGAACCATGAGCCATTCGGCAACCATGCAGGCAGCCACCCCTCAGGGCAGTGGCTATCCACTGAAGTTGAGCAGCCCGTCTCAGGGCAGTCCGGGCATGCTTTCTCCACGCCACCGAGCCAGTCCTGGAGTGGCAGGATCTCCACGCTTGCCCCCACCGCAGTTCTCCCCAGCAGGCAGCTTACATTCACCTGCGAGCATGTGCACTAGCAGTACAGGTGGCAATGGGGGAGCAGGCAGTAACCATGGTTACACAAGCAGTTCCCTTAATGCCCTCCAGGCACTTAGCGAGTGCCACGGCGTGAGCCACGGCCAATCGCTGGGCTCGCCCGACAGGAAATTGGGGTCACCAGCCTCATTGGGCGTCAACCTTCACATGTTGAACAAAATGGGAGCCTCAGAGTCATTCGGAGAGCAGAACCAATCAGAGCAGGGTAACAGCGGGCAGGACGATGGCATTGAACAGCAAAGAGACGAAAAGGGTAACCTCAGCCAGTTTAACAACCCGGATGCCAGTGATCCGCAGAACCGGCTACGTGACAACAAAGGCCATACTAAACTCCTGCAGCTCCTCACCACTAAAACTGAGCCTATCAAGTCCACCTCACCCCCTCCAATGGCTAGTGGAGAGCCCGGGTGTAAGGACCCCACTGGCGGCCTAGGGAATGGCGGCATGGGTGCTCAAACCGGAGCCGGGTCACATGCTACCTCCTTGAAGGAGAAGCACAAGATCCTTCATAGACTTCTCCAGAATAGCTCGTCGCCCGTCGACCTGGCCAAACTCACAGCCGAGGCCACGGGGAAGGAGCTGTGTCAGGATTCTGCAGGTGGGGCGGCCGGTGTGGCTGAATTAGCCATTAAACAAGAGCCCGTCAGCCCCAAGAAGAAGGACAATGCCCTGCTGCGCTACCTACTGGATAAAGATGATAATGTACTTAAGGATAAAGGCAAGATGGAACCTGGAGAAATAAAGGTGGAGGGCAGTAAGATGCCGGGAATTAAGACAGAGAAAACTGATGGCGGCTACGACCGTGTGGAGCCGGTAAGTGATGTCGCCAACCTGGCAATATACCAAGAAATATTTAATACAAGTTAAGCTCCATATTACCACAGAAAATCATTTAGACTCATACCTCAGTGGCATCATGCACGTGTTGTTTTTTGTTTTGTTTTGTTTTGTTTTGGGAACAAATAATAGCCTGTTATAAAACATTATGGAAAATAGCATAATTTATCTGTCTAAAATAGTGGCAAGCGTGGTGCTGTGAATTTGGACATGACCTAATAATTTTTAATATTATTATTATTTTTATTATTGTTACTGTTGTCATATTTGTTTTTCTGATTATTATTATTATTTTATTTTGGAGGGTTCACCATTGTGAGATAATACAAGTCCAAAAAAAGAAAGCATGCATATAATTTCTAGTTTATACTGTATATGCTTTTTTAAAAATTGTAAATGCATTGTTAAAAATATTTTCTGTGGTAACTGATAGCATGCTGTCAATAGAGCTTAAAGGTGCCATAGAATGCATTGATACAATATTTTAAATTGTTCTCTGATATCTACATAGAAAGTATGTGGCTTAGGTAAGGGCAAAAAATCTCCAGAAACGGTTTTACATGTCCATTTACAACCCTAGGATTTGTCCCTAGAATTAAATGGTCTGTTTTTACCTTATTTGGAAGGGTCATGAATAATAATGTTGAGCTCTGCTCTGATTGGCTGTTTCACAGTGCGGCTCAATGTTGAGCTCTGCTCTGATTGGTTGTTTCACAGTGCGGCTCATTTCAGTAGCTCACACAGCAGGAAGGAAACACAGGGAAAACATATATTTCAATACTGTCTCTCGCAGTTATATCGTTGGGTACTTATACTGTATATAAAATGCGGGCATCAGGGAGCCGCTATTAATATGCGGGGCATTGAAACTGCTTTCGAATGCATGATGCTTTTTACTTTCACTTTTGAGATTTGCGATCGCACGTGCTCTGTGTAAACTTCAGCAGCAGTACTTACCACACATTTTACAAGATCAGCTGCTTGTCAGGATCTGTAAATCATTCGCCATCATCCTCAGTCATCTCTCCTTACACTGTTTATGTGGGATTAATCGGCCGATTTTTGGCATTTTTTAATTAGTCGGCATCGGCCGATTGTGCTGCAAATTAGGCTGATTTATAGGCAGGTGCATCTGCGGGCAGCTAAGCGTTGTTGCGGAATGCCGGAGAATCTCGCTCTGGCTGCGTGAGACGGAGCAGCTCACACTCTACAGTCGCTTCTTGTTCACACACAGCTTCAGCTAATGATGGCAGGGCTAAACGACCGTTTCGAAAGCGTAATTACATTTTACCCTACTAGAATTGATGTCTCTCCTTACACTGTTTATGTGGTATGTGAAATCTTATGTACTGTAATGTAACAGGCTACCGCTAGCAAGCAGCTAACTATGTCCCTTTAGTGGCTCGCGTTATTTTATTAGAACGCGCGTAATTTGTTTTCCGTGCCTTTCTGAATACAGACACCAACCCATCCCTGCACAGCCTGGAACATAACATTTATTTCCATGATCTGCCATTTTCGCTATTATCCTCGCTTGTTTCTTCACAATACCTGCAGAACTTCTGATGATTCGGCTGTGAGTGTCCAGTGTTTCCCATACATTGAGTTATTTGTGGCGGCTCGTCACAACAGACGGACCACCACAAATAGATTTTCCAAAAGGCTTATACTTCCTTGAATAAACTGAGCACTGCACGTTTCAAAATTAAAATGCAGCGCAGGTGTTTTTATATGAATGTATAATTGAAAAGAACCGACTGTCTTCAGAAAAGCTTTGATGTCATTTTCATTTCGTCTTTCCTGTAATGCCTGATAAAGTAGCGCTTATTTGATTACAGCCGTTACCGGAGAAACCGCTATATCTCCGCTCAGAGCAGAATGAATTTGCATTTGCAAGTCTGTGAGAAACACTGGTGTCTGTCAGCAAACATAAACAAAAAGCATGCTTCAGAACTGTTTTGAGAAGATGTTTAAATTTTGAGCCATGAATTATTACTCTGAATTAGGCTACTACTACTATTACTACTGAAATGTGTGTGCATATATATATATATATATATATAAACAAAAAGTACCGATAAGAATACCGTTAAAGTACCAAATCGATAAGCAGTATCGGTAAGAGTAGTAATACCGTTAAAACCTTAATGATACCCATCCCTAGGCGTAACTATTAGTGATCCCGACTGTAACGTCACAGTCTGTGTTATGTTCTGATTCGCCTATTTTTCAGTGGTCTTTTGCATGCACGAGATTTACATAAGAAGGAAACAATGGTGTTTGAGGCTCACGTTATGTCATTTTCATGTACAGAACTGTTTAGAGGTCGACCGATTGATCGGCCGGCCGATTTTTGTGAGAAGGTGCTTAATTTTTGAGCCATGAATTATTACTCTGAATTAGGCTACTACTACTATTACTATCTTGTATCCTGCAATAATCATTTACTCAAACTCACTTTTATGAGATGAAGGGGAAGAAGAAAAAAAAAAGAAAATCGGCCAAACATATCGGCCAAAAAGATCGGCATCATATATCGGTCATCGGCTGCCCTGATTTCTAAATATAGGCATCGGCATCGGCCAGTGAAAAACCCATATCAGTCGACCTCTAGAACTGTTATTATTCAACTATGCCAAGGAAAATACAGTTTTCCATTCTATGGCACCTTTAACTGAAACAGAAAGAGTTTATATATGCAAAACACCACCTGAATCGCTTGTGCTGGTTTTAAATTAGATTTGGTTTTTTTTATTATGTTGAATTATGATGTCCCTTTGGTGAAATGCAGTAAAGATTCATCATTAGTGGTTGTGGGTAATGAATGTTTTGGTTAGATATAGGCTATCAGCCAGTTTTGTGAATTCTCACGCAGAAATAACCGATATGACAACTGATACCAACGCATTCAAACGCTCTTATCGCCTTGTTTTCAGTTTGTTGCTGTATTGTTAGAGTGTATGCATCCTTTCCTTTCCTCTCTGTATCTCTTTTTGTATTCCTCTCTATTTGGGTGTGAAAGTAGAGCAAACAACAGATTTATAAACCGGCCAATGAAGCCCCAGATCGAGGCAGTATGGTAACAGCAGGGATATAAATGACTCAGCCAGCTGGAGAGAGAGAGAGAGAGAGAGAGAGAGAGAGAAAGCAAGAGAGAAGGGGAAAGTGAGAGCTCTGTCACAGGAAGTCGATTCTGTGGGAAACTGGCAGGACTTTCTTAGAAGCAGCTCTGTGACATTTGAAAAAAGGCATCTCGGTGGTGTTCAGTGCATCTCATCTGGCACAGCGGTTGGCACATGCCCTACTGAGATGGCACCGGGAACCAATCAGGCCTGGCACAGCGGTGGTAAAGTCAGAGAAGCATCTGGGGCCAGGCAACAGAATAGAGAGATTATCCTGTGTGTGTTTGTGCTCATTGGTCCTCCTGGGCCTCTTTTACAAGCTGTTGATTGAGCTACAAATTGAGTCATAGTTGTCAAATCAAAGCAGCGGTCTCGGGAAGCTGCTGCTGTTAGCAGAATGACCTCACCGCCCCTTGATTACCAGGAAAAGACCCAGAGTTCCGCTAGTGAGGAACCTCTGACCTCACGGTCTCTACGACAGCCCCATTGAGAACATGAAGTACAGTGATTTACAAAGCAGGGAGGCCACAGCGGGACAGGAAGAGTGATGGAGGAGATGCTCGAGCATGGATGTGCATGGAAAAAAAAAAAACGGAAGACTGAAGGAAAAAAACTGAATTAGTGAGGATGTGGGCGAAAGGAGGATGAAATGTGGCAGGAGTGGAGAGGGAATACCAATCCCTAGTGAGCTGCCTACCTAGACAGCAGTTCATGAAAGAAGTCTCTCCAAGAGAAAGAAGTTGCTGAACATGGCTGCATTTATTTAATACAGTAAAAACAGTGATATTGTGAAATATTATTACAATTTTTCATATATTGTAAAATATAATTTATTCCTGTGATGGCAAGGATACATTTTCAGCATCATTACTCCAGTCTTCAGTGTCACATGATTCTTCAGGAATCATTCTAATGTGTTAATCTGATGCTCGAGAAACATTTCTTATTGTTATTATCACTGTTAAAAACAGTTGATGCATTTTTTTCAAGATTCTTTGATGAATGGAAATGAAAAAGAACAGTATTTTTTGCAATAGGAATCTTGTAACATTATAAACGTCTGTCACTTTTGATCAGTTGAATGAATCCTTGCCGAATAGAAGTATTAATATCCATAACAAAAATGCAGTACTAGCATACTGTATACTGCCTTTAGTAATATACTATGTTGTGCTTATATGGCCTTTAATTCCATCCAGTTACCATTTCAGATTTGGAAAATGTACCAAAAACTCTAAGCAATTTAAACAAATAACGAGTCAAAAAGACGTCCCATTTACACTATTAATTTTGCAGCTATATTTTATTTAGTACTGCATATGCATTGAAGAATAGAAAAGTTATGTAATTCATAATGTTGTTTAAAAAAACAGTATTTGAATGTTATGAATATTTCTTCAAGGTCATTAGTTTAGCAACATGCTGAGTCTTTTGTGAGTTAGGAGGTTCCTTGACTGATAGCATGCTATCCAATGTATGTAGACAGTAAGGTGGCTCACTGGGGTTTAGAACTGGTGAGCTCTCACCATTCATCTCTCTCTTTCTCCTGTGCTGAGATGAGCAGCAGGCTGGTGTGATAGAGCTACAGCTGAGATTGAAGAGAAGCAGGGATCTGTATGAAAGGTCATGACTCATGATGGCTCAAGAAGTCTTCACTGACAACATGCATCTGAGCGCGTGGAGCACGTCCACTCCTGACTTTCACCAGCGTCGTTCAATGCTCAAGGTTATTTTCACAGTTGGCTTACAATTAAAGGCTTTCGATGGCTCTGGACCAGGGTGGCTTTCAATAATGCAGTTTTTATAGCAGACGGTAGAAATGACCCAGATGCACATATTGTTGTCACCCAGGCA